CAGCCTCTGTTTCCCTAAACAAGGGCGACCATCCCAGCACCGGGCAGGAACTGGGGAAGAGAGCAGATAAGGGGGCACCAACCCTCCCCGGTGGGCTCGGTAGGGCTCTGCATCATGCCCAGGCAGCCCCAACACAGCCTGGATCAGCCCCCAGGAAACCAAACCCTCCATGGCACAAAACCAGCACTCCCAGTGACCCCAGCGGCCCCCCTCCACCCTCAACTGGGGCACCACCCCGCAGGGACGCGCTGATAGCCAGCACAGCTCAGCATGACCACGAGTGGCCAGGAAGTGGGACGGAGGAGCCAGGGGTGAACTTACAAATGGAAATTCTCCTCCCAGACAGGGTTGAGATTGCCGTAGATAGTTTTAGTCCTTTTTTTTGTCTTTCCAACCTGGACAGTGACATACGGGTCACTGGAACCCGTCTTATCCTTTGCTTGCAGGCCCTGGGCACAAACAACTGCGGCACAGCACAGCACGCACGCCCATTCACACGAGGCACACGTGTGGCACACACAGCGGAGAGAACAGAGAGAGAGAGTAGTCAGTGCCACAGCCACAACCGAGACCCCTGCAACAGGCACCTTGTGTCCCTCGGCAGAGCCCCAGGGCCTGAAGCCGCTTTGCAGGATGAGGGGCAGGAGGGGGATTGGAGCACGCAGCGTCCTGGTGCGAGGGGACAGCCACATGGTCCCCCACAGCACATGGTGCCAGGTGCAACCTGTGCCTACCTGTGATGCTGATCTTGGCTGACCATTTGGAGGTGCCGTCCAAGACACTCTGCTTCACTGCCTTCATCTGCTGCGTGTGCGTGGTCTTGGTGACCCCAAACACCTCCTGGATCAGCTCAAATATCTCTGGCTTGTTGCGCTCCCGGATCTTCATGCGGTCCTTGAGCACCATGATGATATTCTGGGTCCGGTCCTCTGCTCCGTGCTTGGAGCTCTTCTCCGCCGCCCCTGGGAGAGGACAGCCATGGGTGAGACAGGGCAGGCAGGCGGCATCCAGGAGAGAGCTGAGAGCTCCCCAAGCCCACCGTGCATGAATTAATTCAAACCTGGAGGGGTCTACACCCTGCCCAGGACAGATCTGCCCTGCTCACCACTTCCCCCATGCACAAGGCAGGAGTCCAGCTCTCCACGGGCCACTCCCTCCTCCCTCTCCAAAATGAGAAGGGATGAGGCTGCAGGCAACAGCTCCTTACTCTGCAGGCAGTCGGCATTGAGCAGGTCCTGGCACTTCTCGTGACACTTGACGCCACACTCGGCGCAGCGCATGCCCTGCCGGGCGATGCCCCAGAGCAGGCCCTCGCACTCGTAGCAGTAGGTGGGGGTGGTGGCTGTCCACACCTCAAAGTTGTGGGGCGTCGTGCAGGAGATGGGGTACACTAAGGCTTGCAGGGTCTTCTTGTAAACATGGTTTTTCTGTGCAAGGACAGAAGAAAGAGGGGGAGAAAAGCTCAGGCGACATACGGCAGCTGAGCCATGCAGTAGGGTACGGAGACCCCATCCACAGCTGCTGGGCCACATGCAATGTCAACGCTGGGTGCGGACAAGCAGGGCAGAGGACAAACACCACCATCCCCAGGTGCAGCTGTGAGCATCCTGGCTGCTTTGGCATCACCGGAGGAGGATGCTGGTGTAGCGCAGACCCCGCATCTCCATTGCTGGCCCGGCCGGCTGGGGCTCAGCGCTCCCACCATGACCACCCCACACCCCAGCCAACCCCAGCACCTACCAGCTCCTCATTGTTCAAGGTGCTCGAGGCCAGCGCGGACGTGATTCCTGCTTTCCTGGACTGGACCAGGGACTGTGGGAAAGAAACACAGTTCCCAGATCTGGCAGAGCACGGGGTGTCCCTCCCGCACTGCTTTGGGGTCCCAGTGGCTGTAATACACCTGGGATGGACCCCCACCCCAGACAGGGGTGGGTGCTGGCTGCATGGGCTGGCAGCGGGGACAGCCCAGCTCCCAGTGATGCCAGCACTGCAAAGCGCCACCCCGCCGTGCAGTGGGACTGGAACCAGTTCAGCAGCCCGTGGCATTTCCAGTTCAGCCCCAATGGGGCAGAGCCTCTCAACGTGTGTCTGAGACTCCAGGGAGACTGGGGTGGGGGGCACTTACCATTGCCTGTGGGCAGCCAGGGCCGGCGAGGGGGGAATAAAAGGCCGTTAGTGCAAGTCACCTCACAGCAGAGTAAGTCCTGGCCCCTTCCTTGCCGGAACAAGTGGGAATCAGGGCAACACCAACCCCTCATGCAGCGCCAGGCCAGTCCCTGGGGAGTTTTCCACCCAAAGCCACAGCACTGGCTGCAGCCTGCCAAATGCCAGCGGGGAAAGGCAGCGGCCCCGCCTGACCCCCGCACTGACCACGCCATCACCACCCACAACCCAACACCCCAAAACCCCAACACCAACACAGCACAGTGCAGAAGCATCAGCGGCTGCCCGAGCGGGCTGGGGGGTGGAGGGCGCTGGGGTGAGGACAGCAAGGGCAGGGCAGCGGGATGGGAGAGGGCAGGCGGGTTGGAGACAGGATGGAGGCACCCTGGGGAGGGCACGAAGTGGAGGCGGTGAGGTGTAAAGAGAGGGGGAAGGAGGCAAAGGGCACCTAATTCTGGGTGCAAAGGGTGTCTGGTTTCCAAAATAGCTGTCTCTTGTCACCAGGGGGGTGACAGCAGAGTGACCCTGTGCGTTACAGCCCAGGGGCTGGATGGGACCCCAGCATGGGGACTGGGCAAGTAGCGGCGCAGCGTGACAATGGTGGGGACAGGAGCATAGGGTCTGTGCAGCTCAGAAAGGCCAGTGCTACCCCTCCTCTGGTACATGGGTCCATCTGCCCGGCACCAGCGTGGTCCGAGCTGCGGGGAGCCTATGGCAGGTGGGTCAGTAAGGGACCGGGGATGCAGCACCAGTAAAAAAATGGGAAACCAGACGCAGCCCCGGGAAGCCTTGGGCTGATGCTTGGTGTAGGGACAGGCCCCTGGAGCTCTGTTAAAGAGAAGCACCCTTGGGTGGGGAGAGCCCAGCTGTGCCATCCTCACAGCTCCCCACTGCAAGGTCCAGGGCCAGGAGACACCCAAAACAGCCTGGGACACCCCCACCCCCCACTGGCGGGGCTGGAGGAGGCTGGGCAGGGCTGGCTCGCAGCACCCAAGGGTGCTCTCTCTTTAACCCCTCGGACCGCGCTCACCAGATCGCTGACTAGAGGGAGAGATTTGCGTCCAGGCTTAATGTCGGGCATGCTGTTAATGCAGCGCAGAAACCTTACTGCTGCCCCCCTGCCGCCAGGGACGGCCAAGCCAGGCCGGAGAAAAGAAAACAGAAAACACAAGCCATGTTAGAGGCAGCTGGGGAGCAGGACGCGGGCGCCTGGCAAGCACCGGCCAGGGCGGGCGGCGCAGTCCAGCGGGGCGCAGCAGGAGCGAAGCCAGCAGCTGTATGGTGCAAGGCGTTAGGAGGAACCTCACCAAATCGCTAACTAGGGGGATGGGTTTTCGCTTGCGTATGTCCGGCATGCTGTCTATAATGATCAGCCCGCCACCAGGCCTGCAAGAGAGACAAGGGTCAACGGGGAAGAGGAAACTGAGGCAGAAGGGGGCCCCCTGCTATTGCCCCACGTTTGCTAGGGACTTGGCAGACAGGACTGCAGAGCAGCCCCTGGGTGGCCTGGGACCCATCTGCGGGACCCCCATCCCCACTGTCCCAGCTGGGGCAGGGATCACCAGACTAAAAACTGGGGGGGGAAGGGGATTCTGGCAGAAAACTGATTTTCCCCACGTGAAGATGTTTTGCTTCAGCGGTGTGACACTGAAACGTGGGAAAAAAAATAGCCCGTTTGGCTTAGTTAGCCCCAGCTACGTCCTGTCCCAACCCACTCACCTCCTTGCTCTCCCCCTCGGCAGCGGCTCTCAGGGACGTGGAGCGGTGGCATCTCAACTGGCTCCTCCAAAAGCACCGAGTAACCAGCGTTCATCTGGCCCCCCGCATGCCCACAGCTCGGCAACGCTTCCCCACGCCAGCCCCCCCGACAAGCTCGTTAATCATATCCTAATGAGGAGGGGAGAGCAGCCTGCGAGACCCCAGGGGGGCAGAAAGTACCAGCTTCCCCACATACTCACCCGCCTTTGAACCACAGGGATTTGGCTTCTCCATCGCCTTCCCCGCGGGCCTGCAAGACACGGGGCAACCGTCATGGGCGCAGCACTGAGCCCCCGGCGCGCGTGGCAGCCCTCCCCGGGGCTCAGCGCTGCTGGCAACTGAGCGCCCAGCCGGCACCCACAGCACTGGGGAAGCATGTAAAGGGTTTACAGGGTGGGTGGAGAAAAGCGTGTTCCTAAAACAACGGGGCTCTCTCCTGCAAAGAGCTTGCACTGGGAATAAAATACCTTCAAGAGACTGAGCTGGGCAAGCAGTGGGCAGGCTTCAGCAGAGGGGCTCGGGCTGGCAAAGCAGTGGGGATGGCTGCACCATGCAAAAATTCAGGGTTTGGGGGACTGGCGGAGCACTGTTGGAAAGGCTCAGCAGGTCCGCACGGACCCGCAGCCAGTCGGAGAGAAGTGCGGGGAAAAGCCAGAGCACACCAGGGATGGGGTGTGTGCAGGGACCATCCCGCAGTGCCACCTCCCTTGCAGGAAGGGGATTATTTTGGGGGAGAAGGGAGGAAAGAGCCAATTATACCTCCCTCGTGGGGCAATCCCTGCACGCACACACACACACGCACACAGGGAAGGCACACACAGGTTGCTGGGTCGTTCCCGTTGGACATGCTTACCTGCAGGCAGGCTACACCCCTTCCCTGCAAGAAGGGGAGATGCAGGCGCAAGGGCCATGGTGGTGGACAACTGAAAAGAGAAGCGGTGGGGAGGGGGATCGAAGCCCCAGGGGGTGAATCCAGAGCCAAAACAAAAAGAAAAGATGGAGGATGGAGTCTAAAAACAGAACAAAAAATTGTCAACTCAATACAGGGGAGAGGGTGGAGGGGCTCGCACCAGCACACAGCATGCAGCACACACCGGGGGAAGGTCCTCAGCACTCCCTGCCCCTCGTGGGGGTCCCACTTGTCGTGAACGGGGTTGCGGGGCCACCACTGTTGGGGCCCCCCCAGGTCCCCACTACCCTCAGGGTGTGGGATATCCATGGGATCAGGGAGCAGACATGTCTGGAAGATGCCCAGGCATGGGAAGGGGCCATGACCCCAGCCCAGCACGTGGCCGGCACTGGGACCCGGCAGCGGGCGGTCGCGGGGTTGCTCACCTCCTGCAGCTGCATGCAGACCTTGTTGAAGGCTCTCAGCCAGTTGGCTTTGGCTCGTGATTTGGGATCCTGCACCTCCACCTCTGCCTGCTCCCTGCAAGCACACACACCTTGCTCACCTCCCAGCACGGCACTGGGGAGGGGGGAGTTAGCCCCCACACCCCGGGCAGGACTGAGGCTGCAATTTAGGGATCCTGATGGGCCTTGAGCCAGTGTGGCCATGGTAAAAATCCCCTCTTGCTACTCTAAAAAGGTAGCAAGTCCTGCTGCAAAGGGCAGCACAGTCAAGGCAGAGCAATGGGGAGAAGCCAGGAGTTCCCCCTTCCTTGGGAGACTCTGCCCTGGGCACCCAAGCAACACGGAGGGATCCCTCCAGAAGCGAAGGGTCAGGGGACTGCCGGTGACACAAGCACGTGGATTAAACATCCTTCGCCCCTCATCTCCGCAGCAGGATGTCCTCTGGCCGCTTCCCACCACGCTGGGATCTCCTGAGGTTAAAAGCTCCCAACACCCCGGTGGCTCCGAGCCCAGGGGGACCTGCCCGCCTGGACATGCTGGTTGTTGTGGGTTTTTTTTTCTCCTCTCTTGCAAAATTGAGACATGGAGGAAAAGAAAACAAATCCTCCAAACATCCCAGGCTCCTGGAGAGCCTGGTGTGATGTGACACTGGAGATGGGTGCCCAGAACCGGGCTGGGACGAGGCCATGGGGAGCTCAGGAGACGAACCTGCCCAAACCAGCCCTGTGTGGCCTTGCCTGTGCTAATGTGTGGTCCCCAGCACTAATCTGGGGTCCTCAGTGCTAATCTGGGGTCCGCAGTGCCCAGTGCAGGACCCCCCCAGCCCCCTGCCCGGAGAACAGGCACGGTAGGCAGACATGAACAAAGGCCATCTTCTCCAGGACTCTAGCCAGCCCTTGGGCCTAAATATGTATTTTTTTAAAAAAAGCTCATTACACATTCCTTTAAATTAGGGATTCCCCAGCTCTGGTCTATAATTTAAACTAAATAAAAGACTGAAAAAGCCCATCATGCTTCTCCTCTGTGCAGAGCGGTGGTGCTCACCAAACCATAGAAAAATGGACGTGTTCAATAATTAAAGGCAGAGATTGATATATGAATTATTCACATGCTGTACCAGGGACCTGGCCACCAAATAATTCATCTGTACAGCACAGGAGGCTATGGATGAGCTTTTAGCAGTGGCCTAGGGGGAGGATTGACTCCTGTGAAAGAAATTTGCTCCTCTGACCGTGCCGAGCTCCAGGGTACCCCCTCCACCCAGGGAGCCAATAGCTTGAGCCAGAGGAGAGGAATCACAGCCCCAAGCCCCCATTTCCCCCATCCCCAGGTTTGTCCCAGGTTATAAACCTGCACCCCTCGTAGCCCTGGCAGGATCTTGAACGCCTTGAGCTCTGCCCCCGCTTAGCGTGGCACTGGTGGCTGGGCCAGGGCAGCGTGCCCAAGAGGGCTGACCCTCACCTGGGTGGCATGAGGTGGGCTTCCCCCACCTCGATGCCTCAGGCACCTGGAAAAGCCCCAGACACCACAGAAGGTCCCTGGTGCTGCCCCTTGGCACCAGCAGCACCTGCACCAGCCCCGGGCCGCCTCCAGAGCATCCTCAGTTTCACCAGGCACCATGCCATCCCAAGGACGCTACAGGTCAACATCTCCCTCCTACCTCTCAGCCGGTTTCGGGGGCTCAGGCTCAGGGGCCGCCTCTTGCAGGGGAGCTTCATCTGCTCCCTGCTGGGCCTGGAGGGCCTCTGGGGTTTCCTGAAGGGCAGAGATGTCCTTCTCCTCCTTCCTCTCCTCCTTCCTCTCCTGCTGCTGAGACTTCAGCTGTGGGACCAGCTGGGGTTGCTGCAGTTGCTGCTGCTGCTGTGGGACCTGTTGCTGCTGCTGCCCAGGGGGCTTCTGCGGTGGGGGGTAGGCATCGTGCTCGGGGGTTTTGTAGGTGCCCTGCTCCTGCAGGTCCTCCTCCTCCTCCTCCTCCTTGGGGTAGCCTTCCTCATTCTCGCTGTAGTCCTCATTAAACTCTTCCTCCTCCTCTTCCTCCTCCTCCAGATAGAGGTCATCGTCCTCCTCCTCCCAGCGGGGCGAGTCCTTGCGGTAGCTGACAGAGCTGTGGCAGGAGTGGTAGGAGTCGCCGTCCCGCTCATCCAGCTCCGAGTCCCGCAGGCTCTCGTTCTCGAAGTCCTCGCTCAGCTGGGAGCTGCCCTGACTCAGCTCGGCCGACGAGGCGTAGCGGCTGCTCCCTGTGGGGCTGCGGGGCCGAGGGGAGACAAGGACAGGGCTCCCGTGGGTCCGTGCCGCAGCCTTGCCTGCCCCATGCTGCCCCAGCCAGAGCCCTGGGGTCCCTGCACCACGGGCGGGAGGACGTGCAGCTCCCCCCGGGGCACAGCCCTAGGTGGGCACTGGGCTCTTCAGCCTGGGAGTCGAAGGCACAGACCCAGGAGACTCTGTGGGCTGGAAGTAGCCCCCCAGGCTGGGGCACTCTCAGGGGTCTGACCTTCCTGCTTGTTCCTAGGCTGAGCATGGGGATGTGGGGGACGGTGTCTGTCCCCTCGGCTCACCCCTGCCAGGGGTGGGGGCAGAGCACAGCCAGGCAGCACCCCCAGGCCAGATCCTGCCTCCTGCTTCTGCCAGACACCCTGTCCTGCCCCCAGCCCACAGATCTGTCACCCAACCTCTACCCTGACATTCCAGCACCCCCTGTAGACCTCCCAGGCACCCCCTCTCCAAGGACAACCCCTCAACCCCATTACTCCCCTTAACCACATCACCCCTACCCGGGTGTCCCCTCTCCACTCTTCCTGCCAGGTCAGACCCCTTCCCAACCCCATCTGTGCCCCACTGGCCCCCGGCCCT